AGCCCAGCCTTCAGCTCGAGTCTGTACATCACCCTACAGCAGCCATCAGCATTGCCACACCACAAGCCCGCCCAGCCCCAGAAAGCTGGGCAGCTCTTCTGCTCTTGTCCAGGTGGCAAAGGCTAATCTCTGTGTTAAGTCCTTCAGGAGAAGAGCAAGTGTTCACAGTTTCTCATGCAAAGCAAATCTCACATTGTTTTTCCACTTTCTGCTAAGTTTGAGGGACTTACATTGTTCTCTCTTTGACTGTTGTAATCTGGGAACCTAAGCAGTGTTCAAATACTTGCTCATGAAACAGATGAGTAAATGTAAGTTTATGTATTTATGAGAAAAACTGCAAGTTTTCTGCTTTACTCATTTTTGTTCTAACTGGTGGCCTGACATTTAATCCCAGCGAGGCTACGAGCTGTGCTTTCCGTGTTCTGCTGCTAAATGTCACTCTGCTACAGTGCTGCATTCACCAGCTCTAAAGCAGCTTTTATCAGCAGTGGTGCCAAGTGCCAGTGTTCCCACTGTGCCAGACTGCTGGCTTAGCTTGTTTTCTTTCAACAGCTGTAGAAAATATCTGAAACAGAAAGGCAAGAACTATTCCATTTTTATATGAAAGTGATTAATATGAAATTAAATTTATAGAGAGTTGCTAAATAGAAATGTTGTATTCTGATCCTTTACTTTGAAACCTCTATTAATAACAGATTGCTTTCTTTATTGTAGTGCTTAAAAGTCTGGTTACATTGAATTGATAGAGGATTTCAGTGTGTAGGATGTATTTTATAGGTCTAGCTATGAAGCCAGGCAGCCAAAGAGCCAATGTAACAATTAGCTGGATGTTTCTTTCTGTTAGAGGCAAACATAAACAGCATGGAGAAACCTGCAGCACTGGCTTTTGGAATGATCCCCTACGGCTTGTTGGCAGCAAAGCTGAATAACCCAGTGACCAAGAAAGTCCTCGGGCAGTTGCAGCTCAACAGGTCACAAAAGTGACATAAAAATTGTCTTTGGCCCCTTCTTGCCCCCTTTCTGCTGCCTGACTGAGAAAGGCTGAACAAAATAAACTAGAAATCTTCAGAGACATATCTCATGGAATGCAAATATTCTACAGGCAGCCTTGTAGCTAAAGTAAATAGAAGGGAAACACCCTGAATAGCTGGTTGACCTTGTAGAGGCCTTGATCCTGTCTTGCCCAATAGATGCCTGCTTCTTCTCCACAGCATACTAATGACTGCCACTGGATTCCCTGAGAGATACTTGTATTCTGCTGGGGGGGAAAAACAAGAGCCCTGCTCTTTTCAAGGTGGAAGACATCAATCATTCTCTGAAATTTACTTTTAAACAGTGTTTTGAAATTTACTGGCAGGACAGCTCATCTTCTCTTACATGTTTAAGGAAAGTTGTAGATTATTTGGCTCCTCTCCACCACCACCAAGTTCCTATACTAGCAGGAGCTGAACAGCAGCATTTCTAGCTTATAGTTTCTGCAACAGTTCCTCTTCTTTGTAGTGTGCATGCTCATTGTCCCAGAAGCTTCCCCTGTATCCCGTGATAAGCGTATGATGTTCGGTTCCAAGCAGCAAAAACTTCCTGCTCATGGTGTGAGAGGGAGTAAGTAGGACTGGTCAGACTAGATTTTTGGAGGGGAACTGCCACTGCAACACGTGAGCAGCTGAACCAGTTCTATGTATGACATGTCTCTAGACATGCACTGAAGGTTAACTGAAGGTTAATTTTTAAAGATCAAAGGATTGATGAATAGTTCTGACTTACAGCTCATGACCCCAAATTCAGATAGGGACCTATTTTTCTGCTGGTTTCAGCAGGTTTATTCTAGAATCTCTTTCAAGGGACAGTTCCCAAACCCAAGCATTTTAGAATAGGAACATCTATAGTCAGAGTATTTTATGGGCATTTTGCATACAGAGATCCTGTAGAGCTACATCTGCTTTGTCTTGTTTGAACCAGTTGATGTGGAAGGGGGAAGAGCAGACCACATGAGTTATGATCAGGTCATGGTTTTTTAGAGAAGCCTAGTCCATATTTTACCTGATCTTTTTTGCTGCATGCAAGTACTTTTCCATAAATTAAAGGGCATCTGAGAAACAACTTACAAGTTATAAGCAGTCAGTAGAAGTATAAATTGAGTGCATCATATCAAAATATGGATATAGCTATGGTATTTTATTTTCAATTTTGATCGCTGCTTTTCTGTTTTGCACTGCAGCAAAGTAATAACAGAAACTTAGTGTGGCCTTTAGAGCTACACGCAGATTCATAGATCCATTTACTATTATTTCATTGCATTATCTTTTGTGAGTACACTTAGTTTGGAATCCATTCTAGCGTTTACCTTTGTGGGTGAATCTAGGCAGAATAATACCAAATATCAAAAAGACCAGAGCTACTAGCGAAGTTTAATAAAGGGGGGAAGTAGGATGAACTGCATCAAGTCACTTCAAGTGGCTTGATAAAAACCGTGATTATAATAATTTAGCTTTTCATAAAACCTGTTTGACAATTCTCAGCTTCTGAATGGAGAAGAATGTTGGGATGTCTACCTGACCTAGATAATATCTGTAATTGGCATTTGTGTGTCAGACTGTGGAAACTAAGGGACTGATGTGAAACTCCCTGGTTGCTTTAGACAACTGGGTTGAGCTTTCATAGTAGATGGAGGCTAGAAGAGCGCAGAGCCAGTATGAGTCCAGAAGGAAGGCAGGTGGAAGGGTGCCTGGGAATAGGGATGCAGAGGGAGATGCTACCAGAGATCACAAAGAAAACCAGGGAAGAGTGGATGAAATGGAAGACACTGAGGAAAGAACAGGGGAGAGGACCGTCATGCAACAGAAAAAGGGCTTGGGAGGCAATGAAGATGAGGCGGTATTTGTACTCCAGGTAGCTCTCCTAAAGGAAAGGGAGAGTGAAGTTTCTGTTTAGCAGTGGTGCACATTTTTATCTGCTTGCTTAAAGCAAATTTTGAATCTGAAGTCAGTAGCCAAACTGAATATTCAACTCACAAAAGAGAGTAACAAATAACATTTTTGGAGTATTTTGCTGCTTCGTATGCGCTTGTTGTCTGAAGCAGATTCTGCATCAGGGACCCTGCTGGGCTTTGCCTGCAAACACAGAACCCTCCAACTGGTTTCCCATGTCTGTTTACAACAACAAATGTTATTAGCAGTAGAGATACCTGAACATGCTTTAATTTAGGCTTCAATAGCCATGTACGAGTAGCACAATCAACATCAGTGCAAAACAATCAAACTTGTCAAGAAGCAGGACAAAATGCACCCTTTAGTTCACGGGTATGGAAAAGTTCCTTTGAAATGCTAAAAGGTAGCTTGTGTGGTTGGTTGATGTCCTTGCTTGCCAAGTCAAATGTATAAAAACCAGCTCTTCATTCTCAGCAGATTGTAGGGTAGGTTTTAAAGTCTTAGCATGGATTTACTTCAAGTCAGGTTATTGAAACCAGAGTATGTTACTCTGATTTCAAATATCAAGTATGCAAAGTTGATGTGTTCAACTTCTTTGCTTCTTAGCTAAATAACTGCTAATATAAAAGAATTATACTGTTGCAATTTTCTTATACAATTATTTGTGGCTGTTGATACTCTAAAATGTCAAGATTAAAACAGCACACAGTGTGTTGCTCACAAGGGACTTTAAGAATACGCCAGCAAGTCTTGCATGAATAAGTAGTTCAATTAAGATCAAGAATAAAATCAGAATAATTTTGCATATAGTGTTACATTCTGTTGATTCTGGTAAGAAAATAGAGCATGACAGTCGTCACATCCCCAAGCTAGATTTCTGGGGCCATCCTAAAGACAAAGGCAAGTATAGGTGAGAGAGTTTGGAACTCAGTAGCACCAAAGCTGCTGCTGCTTTTAACTGAGGCAAGGTGCTGTTAGCCAGTTTATCATGGGATCTTGCCACAAAGCAGAGAAGGAAACATTCTGAAACAATCAACCCTGAAACAGAAAGTCTGGTATTTCACCCCCCCCCAAACAATATAATACCTTTAACAAGCTGGTGAACTTGGGGGAAAAAAAAAAAAAAAAAAAAAAAGGTGAGTTTATAGGATATAGAGCTGTGGTTTTATAAAAGAACTCTTTATTTCCACATGCCCCCCAGCTGTGCAGAAGAGTGCTGATTACATGGTAGTAGTTAAATTTAGTAAGAAATTCCTTGCCTGAAATTAATATTGATAGTTGAGTGCCTAATATACCCTGGTTTAAAACTTTTTCTTATAAACAATCTGGTTTGCAGTTTACCAATACTGAAAACTAAAAGTTTACTAGTTTACTAAAACTGAAACACCACTTTCTTTTACTGTTAACATTTATAAGTGAATTTGAGATCCTCTGCTTACAAGGACATGATATGTATTTACTTACCAAAGACCTTCCTTCTGTGTGTTTGTTTCTATGTATTAGTGTTTATTAAAAGGAAAAACAAATTCAGTCATGGATATCAGCTAGTAAATTCTGATGAAGGTCCTAACTCTTCAGCATATTTTTGAACTCCTGAAGTATTTTGCTGACTTAAGCCAAAGTTCAAGAGCTTTATAACTGGATCCCAGGTTTAGTAATCCTAATTAAACTTCTTTGGCCTTATTATGGTTTAATCTGTGTACAAATCCCATCATTGCTACAACGCAAAGTTGTGACTAAGATTGGAAGCTGTTGCAGTTATATACCCATGAGTCAAGAAATTCTGCTTCCTTTGTAGAACTTAGCTGTGCCATCTTGGAGCTCTTCTCCTCCTTGGCATGTAAAGAAACATGATTTTTTGGGCAGCTACTTTGAAATACTGTCTTTTGTTTGCCTTATTCTTCCCTCTCCATTTTTTTTTTTAATATTCATTCTCCTCTTCTGTTTTTTAAAATATCTTTGGAAACATTTTTTTTTTTAAATGTAAAGTTATATGTATATACACACTTCTGATTCTTTTACTGTATGAAAAAAATAATGTTTTCTGTTTGTAAAATGATTCATCTCTTGTAGATATTGTGCAACGGACCAGGAACATGTGTTCCTGTCTGTATATCTGCTCTTCTTCTTGGGCTTCTGGGAATGAAGAGAACAATCATTGTGTATGTGGAGAGCATCTGCCGCGTAGAAACTTTATCCCTGTCTGGAAAGATTCTTTACTACTTTTCAGATTATTTCATTGTTCAGTGGCCTGATCTAAAGGAAAAATATCCCAAGTCAGTATATCTTGGTCGAATAGTGTAACAACAGAAGACAAGCTTTACCTAAAATAAACTCTGCAAGCTCCTCGCTGAAGAAATGCGTTCATGTAACAATTTATTTTTAAGGATACTTGTTAAGAAATTAGGCTGGTACTGGAAAAGAAGACCACAATAAAGATATCTCTCCATTTAAGTATATTTTTTTGTACTTGTATTTATTGTCATCATGTAGGTCTGTTCACCAATACACCATAATAGCATAAAGTCTATGCCATCTCTGTTTTCATCTAGTTTTCCTGCCATGTGAATGCCAATTTTTGTCTACAAATAAATATGGGAATTTGTATGAATGTAACATTTCCTGTAAGGAAACTTTGTGTAGTTTTCTAAATTGTAAGAAACAAAGTCTTGTTATAGCACAACAGACTTTATTTCCTGTATGCTAGCAGTGAAGTCCCTTGTGAATCCTCAGAGTATAAAGGAAACAGTTATATTAAGTTGGCTTCATGACAGTTTGTACTCCACAGTCTTCCAAAACCCCCAAAGCATTAAATCGGTATCATTTTTCCTCTGCGCTTGTCAAAGCTGCCCTTGTAATCTTTTGAAAATTGTTGCTCCTTTCATAAATAAAAAGGTGACAAATGTCATGCTACAGGCACAGTACTTAAAGATTTAAGAAGTACTTTCTTTGAAGCTTAGGTGCAAAAGTCCTTAACAAGTTTACTTCACAGAGAGCAAACTGTCACTTTGGAAAATTGAATTGGTTCTGGCTCTAAAATATAGAAAAGAAAGTGTTACTATGAGTGAGTAAAAGGGAAAGGAACAAAGTTTCCCTGGCTTTTCCTTATACAGTGAATTTGACATTTAGTATATCCTGTTTTCTTATCTTAAGCACCTTAATTCCAGGAGTACAATATGCACTTAAGATTCTGTCATGGAAAATGGTATTCTGTACATTGGGAAAACTTTTGGAAGGTATATAGTTGAAGCTAAGTGTGTGAAAGTCTACTTTAGCATTTCCATTCTTCTGGCGAAACATAATTCTCACACTGTTCCACCTATAAAGCAATATAAACACATCTGTCATCTGTACACACACAGAGCTATGTGTCTGGCTACAGAAACATATACAAAGAAGAAAGCTCAAAGAAAAGCAGAAATGCTCTACAGCCTGCACAGCCTGACTCCAGTGAAGCCAACAGCAGCTCCTGGTGCTGCCCCAGGAGGAGACTCAACCCCTGAAGCCTTTTCTTCAGTGTCAGACGTCAAAATGTTACAGCAGCTATCCTGGTAGGGAATGAGGCAGGGGTGGAATCTTGCTGAACAGATGTGGTGGTATAGTCTAGAATACCTGGAATACTCTGCTTCATGGAGAAAACCATTAGAAATCATCAGAAAACATTATTGCGAGGCCCTGTGGGGAAGCCAGCCATTATAACCTGTCCAACAGGCTTAATAATCCTCAGCCTAAGTAGAGTCCCTTGATGTGGTCACGTGTGAGTTCAGAACAGAGAGTTTTTGTGGTTTTTAACCTAGATTGTTTGACATTAAAGAGCAGTTAATAAGTTAAGACTATGTGGGAAGGACTCTCTGTGCAGTACATACGTGGGTCCTTGAAAATGACCTGGTTGAAGCAGATCTGATGCATTCAAGTGCTTTTTTTCCCCCTGAATGGGAATGATTACTCTTATCAGGACTTTCTGCACAGTTGCAGATAATTTGGTAAATTTGAAAATACACTGGGCTTTATTATGGCTAATGGTGGCTTGTTTTTGATTAGTGCACTGAATCTTGCTTTGAAACTTGCTTAGTGTTTTGGATGGCAACTAGGGTAGAGGGGAATGAGGACTGAGGCAGCCTCTTCCTCTGCTCCGGGTAAGGGGCAGCGGCACCGGATCAACGTCCCAAGGCTTAGAGAAGCACAAGGAAAGAAATGTGATGAATGCTTCCATTCATGCACCACATCCCGTGCCTGAATAGCCCGCTGGCCGGCAGCGAGGCAGACTCCTGGACTGCCTCGTCCCTAAACACAGCCGAGGCTCAAATGGCACCACGTTCACATGCTGCTTCTGGTTAGAGCAAAGCAGAACGTAGCCCATCCCCACCCTGCTCTACATTTATACCTTGCTGAAAGCATCTCTGGCTGCTCAGGTCCTCCCTTAGGGCCCTGCCCAGGGTGGGAATTTTGGGGTTTGGTGCACTTTCAAATTGTGGGTTCATAAACTTTGTGAGTCTGCTTCTGAATGTGGGGGAGTTCCAGGAATTTTCTTCCATCTGTCACCTGCATGGCAACAAGTACTGCTAAAGGAAAGCACTTGCCTGTTCAGACTTGTAGCCTCCCATGTAAATGCTCTGAAGGTAACAGCAGATTTCTTCACAAGAGACTGGTCTGAAACTGAACTACTCGAGGTCACCTGACCTGGAGGAATACAATTTTCAAGGACTTGGGAAGACTTTCCCCACCTTGACTTGACTGCCAGCCTTTTGGGAGAGCAAAGCTGAAAGAATTTCTGCCTGTTCTTTACTTGGTCAACCTGGGAAACACAGGTTAAAATAGGTGTATAAAGTGGGTTCTAATCCGGATAATTGGCTCTGAGAGTGGGACAGTACCCATTTCCTTGTGTTTGATGCTAATTTCCTTACCGATCACTGGCTCAAGTGCCAACATGCGTTAAGGACACTTACTTCTTGGCAGTTTATAACTAGCCTTGGCAAGTGAAAACTTGGATTAGGAATGATCCAGAAGTCTGTAAAGTTGAAGCAGCTGGAAGTACTCAGGAGAGCTCAGAAACTGAAAAGTCACAGCCTGTCTGACCAAGGCCTTCTACAAAACTCCGCACTGCAGGCATGGGGGGACGGGACACAGAGAAGTTGCTGGCTTGAGTTCTCTTAAGGGAAGTTTTTTTATCAACTAGATTGGCTTTTCCTTGAAAAGATTATCTCAAATAACTTCAAGTTCTCTCCAAAATCATGGTGGAGCTGAAGTAAACAAATTTTGTTATTGAATAGCTCTGATCTTTTGTTTTTAGTAGGTGGGTACAACCAAACTGTCATTGTTCTAGGGAAAAACTGCATTTTTCCTGGTCCCAGCATGGGACAGAAAACAGCACTCACAGAGTCTATCCAAAGACTTAAAGGCTGCTGACTGGATTCCTTATGTTTAGATTCTTGGGGTTTGCTGTGTCTCCTTTCCCTTAAATATTAATATTGAAACAAACACATTTGCATTATGTATGTGAGGGACATTTGGAGTGAAATACATTACCTTTTTTCATCTCCATTTCCAAAAGAGGAAAACATACTATCTTATGGATTTAAAGCCAAATAAGGAAGAAATATATTCTGAAAGAAGAGAGTATGACTTTGTAGAAGTATCATCAAAACTGGCAAAGGTTCAAAAGAGACAACAGAAAACATCCAGAAATTCCTTCCACAAGTCCCAGCCTGGAAACCAATTTCTAAATTAGTTTTATTTATCAGATTGTTTTACCTAGATATGCATTAGTTGACAGATACTAAGCATTCAGACTCGTTTCTCTTTTGACCTGGTTGTCTTCTAATGGAGAGTATATAGTGCACATACATTAAAACACAGGTTAATTTTATTATAGAAAAGGAGGAAGGAGAAATAAAAGAGAAGTGCAATTGGACTCTAATAGAATAACACTATGAGAAGAAAGTTGACTCTTGATAAAGACATCTTAGAAGATTATGTCCAAGTTACACCAGAAGAAAGCTAAACAGACTGAACTGAAAACTAAACAGGCTGATCTGTTTTCAGCCAATGATTCAAATTTCTTACAACTCTGCAGTGACTATACCAATAAAGTTGTGCTGGTTTGTAACATTTTGCAAGGCATTAAGGATTTCTGAGGACAATATTCAAAGATTCAAAAGTAAATTCTGAAGCTGTACTCACACAATTCTTCAGACACCTGTTTTTCATGCAAAAACACTGTCATAATAGACAATGGTTAATGCCCTGAAACAAAAGATTGCTGTATGCAAATTGCACATAGACCATTTTAGAGATACAAACGCAAATCACGTTTGTAAAGCAAAAAGATCTTATGTCTGTGAAAGGGTCCACAGAACATAAACAGACCTGGTGAGACCATCTTTTCTATTCTTTTTTTCATCCCTAAATGAGCTTACCAGTGTGCTATCACCGACAGCATCAAAGCAGCAGTTTGTTTTCCTGGGACAGGAGAGAAAGCAGGCTGTCCACGTGGAAGACTATCTCAGAGACAGTTAGGTAGCAGCGCTTGTGCAAAAATTTTTGTTTAGTTCACTACCAAGTGGCACAATCCAGTTGAACGCATTTTTGCCCCCACACTTCAGTCTTTGGCAAGCAGCACAAAAGGCTGGCTGTCACTATTTCTTCTTGAGGACTGAATCTTCTATGCTGTCATGATAGAAATTAAGGGTTTTAACAGGCCCTTGCTAGAAGCCTTCAAGGTTGCTCAAACATGTTGCATACACAGTACTTTTACTTCCCTTCAAACCATGTTTGTGTTGCCTTTCCATTTACTGGTCATGCTTGAAACCAAGTCAGCATGGTAGGCTATGGAGTTACAGTACAACAACAGGTGCATGCTGCTGATCTTACACTGCTCTTATTTCTTCTTTAAAGGAATTTCTGCTCTCCCAGCTGGAGGCACTGGGAATTAATGCCAGTGTACAAGGACTGTGGCCATGGCCATCCCACTTGGCTTCTGGTTATTTGCAGGGGGTGCACCTAGTACAAGCCTGACACTGACGACTGCTAGGTCATTCATGTCATAAACAGTGAAGCTTTAAAAAGTCACCTTTTCTTTTCTTTAAAACTTACTGTGCAAATCAGAAACATACATCTTTATCTAACATTGCCTATTTTAAGACAGTAGCAGGGATAAGCAATAAAATTCTCTTCACAAACATTTTCTACAACAGATTGCAATACCCCTCTCAACCCTGTGTAAATCAGAGCAGATAGCTTTCATATAGTCCCTGTAATGCAGGTTACATGTGCACTGTTAGTTTGGACACAGAGTCTTCCCTTCCAGTCAAGCAAGGCACATCAACAACCACGGTGTGTGTAAGAGCTTGATCACTAGGGTATGTATCAGAAACTTACTAGCACGAGAAATAGATCACACAACTTCTAGTCTGTATTTTAGATTGACTTAGGGAAACTAGTTAATGAAAGTAATTATAGGGAAGTTGCTGAATGCGGTGTTTAAGACAACCATTCCGCTGGAGACTAGGTTTTAATTAACTACCGTTTCAGCAAAAATAGTTCATTAGTAATTCATTAGTAATGCCACGTGAATGAGGGACAGCTCACATGTGATGAACACACAGATCATTTAACTGAAGCTTAGTAACTGTCAGTAGAGTAATGCACTGAGAGAGTGGTATCTGTA